GACNTGCTAGTTGCACTCCAGGTAGGAACTTAGGAGGTGGACAGTTGTAATCAATTAAAGGAGATTTCTTTGTGGTCAGAAAAGTACAGTGTGAACAAAGCCAGCATGCTTGGGAGTCAACTTACTTGGAGACTTTTGAATAAGAGGTTTTAAGAACACAGTATCAATTAGACAAGACAGCGTACTCGTACCCTTAGTTTTGGAGTGTAGTGACATAATAAAAACTCATGGGAGTCATAAAAGTCAATTGAAGTCGTGTTTTGTGTTAATAAAAGAAACTGTGATCAAAGAACTTTGCATTTAAGAGACCAAGTTCCCAGAAAGACATACTTTGTTCTATTGAACTATTCTAAACCACACCTTATAATAAAAACCTGTTTTGAGACGAAAACTCTTGAGACTTAAACCTAAGAAGACAAAAGTGGTATTTCTTAATACCAAAGGCCCTCGAACTCGTGCACTGAGATTGTGATAGTGTGTGTGTGTGTGTGTGAGTAAGTGTTTAGGTGTTTAGGGTTTTCCTGACACACTTGATCCTTGTTTGCGTGTTTCGCACTTTCACGGTCATCCCTGTGCAACGCGTATCACTGTGGTTCATGCAGTTGAAAGGATTGTAAGGGTAAGGGTCCCTTGATGTTTTGGATTTGTTTTGTGGGGTCGGAATGCTAAAAAGTCTTCATGGTTTTATTTCTCACCCTCAGAAGTACTGTTGAAAAGTAATAATCATTTTAGGCTGTGGTCATTTTTTGAAAATTTTATCAATCCCAAGCATACTCTACCAAGAAGTCTAGAAATCCCCTCCTTTTTCTACTTTTCTCTTTCCTTTTTGGGAATTTTTCTCTCTTTCCTTTTATACTCCCACAACCATGATAACCAGGCCACCCGAGCATCCGGTTGAGTCAACTGGACTGGTGGCTACCACTTTTATCTATAACCTAGACTTAAGCCTAGACAGTCATTTCTATAACTTAGACTTAAGTCTAGAGGCCATATCTATAATGCTTAGGATTTTTTGAAAGGCATTTCAAATGTAGGCCTGGGTATTTCATAGTGAATTTTCCATAGATACCCAGCGCATTTTCTGCGAAATTTCAAATGCAGCCCTGGATATTTCATTGCGATTTTTCAATAGATACCCTGGTGTAGGAACCTGTTAAAGGAGTGACGCTGATTCGCGTGGTCCGAGTAACAACGACGAAGTGAATCTGGCGAGTTTCTAGATAAAGGTTGCTACACTGGTGTGTAGACTTCTAACGAGAATCTAATTGGAGGAGAGAATCAATCTCTTTACGCGAGTAGTT